TTTTTTTTTCATTGTCGCATGAAATATCCGAAACATTTAATATTTATATAAGCCAATGATAATTGTGCAGATTTTTAAATCTAAATCTATACAAGGGGACATCCAAGTTTTGCCGTCTGATTTCGAATCAATTTTGTCTGTATTAGATTTCTTCATAGTTCAAGTTTAATTTGTATTGTTTTACTCGCATTTTAGTTGGGGAAATGAAGAGTTGTAAGGCTTCACTTTGCTTCACGAAATTACCTTTTCGGAAAGCATCAGCTGTTTTTTGAAATCGAAGAAAATATCTCGGCACGAGATCGAAAAATGTCAGGACGCCGATTTTTCTTATTCATCTTTGACATCGAGAAGATAATGGAATAATAATAATTGAATATAATTAATAATAGAATGGTAATAAGATACTGGAATACTTTCTTCGACGAGACCATTTCACCCACTTTCTGCAAAGAAAGAGACGATTTTTCCACATTGGTGTGGCGGTGAAGGTTCAAGTGGAGCCGCTGAATCTGAACTCTGTTATAGTCAGTGAGATTCAACTCCTCCAACTTATACCGAACTGGCCCTGAGCTTCAAATTCGCTTCAAAGATCCAAGGATTTGCACCGGGCGTCAAGTTTTGAAAATCGAGTATTCACTTCGGAATTCGAGATACTCGACCTGACCGCAGCCGGCCCGTCTCAAGCGATTTGGCCGACGTTTTTTTATCGGTTAACAATGCGTCTTTTGACGTATTGTTATCTCAGAAATGCTTGCTTGGCGCAGCATAATGAAGTCGCATTCTCCCTGTACATTCTTCGTGTTATGCACCAGCCATATCATTCAGTCAAATTCTGTAATACGTTATCTCAATCTGACTCGCAATAACGCTCATGGCGTGTATAGAAATATATTGAAAAGAAAGTTAACTAACTTTTACTGATATATAGTTGAAATTTTGATTACAACTTATTACCGAACTAATTTTCAATCTAAAACATTTAACATGCCGATAATTTGGATATTTTTCGCGTGAATTTTAATTATAAGTTGACTCAACATCATTTCACTCCAAAAATGAATTATTTGTTTGATGTTTTCAATTTTTTATAATTTGATGCGAAATTATATGTGATTTTTTCAAAGAACTTTTTTAGTCGACATGTTGCGTCCCCATATGTATGTCTCACAAGCTTCGTGAGGATTATAGTTTTGACCACGCAATAAAAAGTTTGCCAGCGACTTACTATCATTATCCATATATACATTATATACAAGCGTTGTGGACACGTAATTAGTGAACTTCCATCGTCTAGTGTAGTGGACACTTGCTGTAATCATTCACCCAATTTATTATCATTCATCTGAAAATTGCTATTCACAAAAACCTGAACTCTAGTGAAGTTTTTGGTATATCTAAGCATATGGGAAATGTTTGGTGAATAATAATATAATTTGATTTTTAGCTTTGAAAATGTGATGAAAGTAACGTATTTTCTTAGATTTTAATTCGGAAAAATTTTGTACACAGGTTTCTACTAGATTCTTCAACATTTTCCTAGTCTCTCTAATGTTAAATAAAACAATCTTTCTAATAAAATTTTTGCAAACATACGCCATGAGCTGTTGTGTTGCGCAGGTATTGCCAAAAAATGGCGTAATATCACCAGATATTAGCTGCATTTTCTAATAATCGACTCCACTAAAGAATTTTTTTGAACAATCAAATTATTTAGACAGAAACAAATCAATTATAGTTAATCTATAGTCCTGCGTAGACAATATTGCATTAATATGACCCTATGATTTTGCCACTAAATGATTTTGAGTGGAATAGTTCACAATTAACTCTTTGAATATCGTTCATAATTTATATAATTATTAATGAAAGAAATATATTGAAATGGAATAGAAGATGGTATAGAATAGAATAAAATGTAAGTAAGTAGTTCTCACGAGTTTGCTTGTGGGAAATAAAGTAGTCTCGCCGCTCAGGTTCTCTTATTTACCAAAAGAGGAGACATATTATTGATTAAAAGTACTTTATATGCGTTTGTCCGTGAAGAATTTGCACGGCAAATGCTTCCTCAGGAGAAGGCAAGTGATAATGACACGCAAAAAACGTCGATACCATACGTAGCTTTTTTACAGCACGAAGTCGATGCGTGCAAGGTAATGTGCTTACGCTCATTTCATCTCGTTACCAATTATAGGCCTCTCTATATATAGCGAAGCTAACATTAATGACTAGGGAATGTGATACGTGCGATCAAGAAAATCGCTCAAGCCCACCTATCAAAACCTTCCGATATTCGATCGATATCACTTCATTTTATCAGCATAAAAAATCAAACATATTTATTTAGGATTATTTACTATTTTTTTTCTATTTGCCGGCTCGTTACTGATTCGGAGAGAACATTGAACTTAATTTGTACCACGCAGGTTCAGGTGAAATAATCTTGTAAGAATCCATTTTTGCTAATTACCAGTCTTCTCTAAAATCCTTGACGAGCAATTTGGCATTCTCAGTCAAGAATCATTTTTTAAGAACTACCAATCATTTTTTAAATTATAATCAAACAATTTTGCATTCTCAGTCAGTACGTTTCGGCGCTTCATGCGTATTTCGTATTGCAATCGAATGTAAATTTCCGCTATTTTAGCTCTAGGAATTAAGAACTTGAAGCTCCACAGAGCTATCCAGAAAATGTTTGTGTGCCCGGTCTTATCGACTTGTCTGTTAGGGATGACTAGCTAGTGAACTTCTCGAGCTGTAGATACGCTTATCAAACGGTATTGGTGTCCTTATTTACTTGCTGGTAACAATTGCTTGTCTTCGCCAAACTGAATGAAGAACTAATGTAACAAGAGCGAGTTAAGTGAGAATTTTTTGTGAAAGAATTGCTAAAGACAACGGCCGTAAATAGAGAAAAAGCTAAAGACAACGGCCGTAAATAGAGAAAAACTGCTCGTTTGTTGTCAAGGAAAATCTCGAAATTAGCATCGATAACGATTTGTGGAGTGGATAAATATAAACACTATAACAATTTATTACTCGAAGTAGAATCGTATCGATGAAAGTGAAATGCTTCCTGTTATTATAGTCAATTAATAGATTTAAACAGCGACAAATTGCGGAATATTCGGGATTATCCTATCGGAGGGTGAAAATACTAATGTAATTTGCATATTTTGCTCTATTAATTTAAGTATCTGAAGGATAACAGTCTCTGACACTTAATGCTTGTAAGCTTCATTTCTCTTCGCGGGACATGAAATATTATCTTTCTGCGACATTTGGCGTACTTAATTAGTTACGTTACACTTAGCTGTACACAAATGTTTAGTTTCCCTTATTCCGTATATCAATAAGAATCACAGCTCCCTTTGCTCGTAAGTTCGGCGTTGCAGTTCAGCTCACCACAGGATAAACAAACATTGGGCGAAACATTAATTCTTCCCCCTTTCAATTCTAACTATTCCAAATAAAATCGATCATTTTCCGTTTTGTTTATAGTAATACGATAATTGTATTTGTGGAGATTTTGTTTTTATCAACAATCAAAGTTGGTGGCATTTACAATTTTCATATAGTTTTTGACGAATGTGGATTGATATTCAAATATGAGAAATGTGTAGATAACGATACCGAACTGGTCCCTTCATTAGAACGGTTTGATGTGTAGGAAGCGCAGCGGATGTGCATCGAATATTAGTTTTTTTATTTGTGCTAAAGAGAGAATGCGATTTTATTCACCGTCACACAATTCATCTGCATGCAATTTTACCTTGGCATGTAGACAACTTATTAATCTGTACAGTACGTGTGCCTATCCTCATTATTGCATTTTTAATCCACTTAATTTTTTATTATATAGTGGACTAAAATTTAGTCACGAATGTCTTTATTAATTGTGGTTAGAAAAATTCTCCGTGGCTAAATAGTTGATAGCCATACACAATAATTTCAGTAAAATTATCCTGAGTACATCCCATGTATCTGACTTTTTTTGGCAACCCTTAATTAAATTGAAGTTCTTCCGTCTATGTCTTCCGAGATACTCTTAAATTTCATTTTAATTATTTTACTAACTTAGCCTCATTCGAATATTATACAAGTATTCAAGAAATGGGTTTATCGATTGATTGCTCATTGCAAAACATATAAAAACAATATGCAAATTTTGTTGCGGTGCGGTATGCGTCGATGAAATTAAAACGGAGCCGTCGTGCTGCATGTAAACTAATGGAACAGCACGCTCGTGCTGCATTATAGTGCTGCATGTAAACTAATGGAACAGCACGCTCGTGCTGCATTATAGTGCTGCATGTAAACTAATGGAACAGAGCGCTCGTGCTGCATTATAGTGCTGCATGTAAACTAATAGAACAGTACGCTCGTGCTGCATTATAGTGCTGCATGTAAACTAATGGAACACTACATTCGTGCTGCATTATAGTGCTGCATGTAAACTAATGGAACAATACGCTCGTGCTGCATTATAGTGCTGCATGTAAACTAATGGAACAGAGCGCTCATGCTGCATTATAGTGCAGCATGATACATACATGCTATACACACTAACCGACGCTGTGTCTCGCTCAGTCGTTAGAGCAGCCGTTATCGCTCCCTGATAACGCCGTGCTGATAACCGCCTCTATATACCTGCTCCTCTTTACTGCTGTCGACATCGCTTCCTTGAATACAATTAAACTATGCGAATTATTAAGAATTTTAGCATACGGATCAACCATCTCCATATGTATATCCTTCGGTGCTGAGATTCGGCATAAGTCTAATAATGCCCTTTTGCTCATTGTTCAAACAATTATTTCGAGAACAGAGTGAAATTGTCGTATTATTAAAGTCAGTATAATATCAAAATAGTTCGATGAGCTTAATTTTGTGCTAGAACCGTTTGTTCTTGAAATATGAGCTTTATTTGTTTCAATACAGTTTAATTGATAGCTTCACATTATTAAAATTCAAGAATTTTTTTCCATATTTTTATCTTTCAGATCCTCGCTGAAGACCGAAAAGTTGTCAATGCACTTCTGACGTTTGATTTCCTTGCGAAGATTTCCCACCTGCCCCCGCGCTACCACAAACCTGCGTTCGGGTCTCATGGCTCCATCCAATCATTCATTAGCTCCCTGCTGCAGCCGCCGCAGCCTCCTAACCCGCCCGCCCCATGTAACACTGCGCCTCTGAAGCCGACTCTCTCGACCGTGGGTACATCTTTACCTCCTGCCAACCTCAACCCCAAGATGACGGGACAGTTCTTCTCACCGTCCATCGTACGCACCACCAGCACCACCTTGCCTCCCCGGGAGACCGGAGAACTCAGGGACTCTAGACTCCGTGCCGGCACCTTATCTCCGAGGGTGTCGGGTTTATCGGATAGAAAACTGCGTGGTATTTCAGCTCATGACGAGAACTTTGGAGCCGGTTGCGGTCGTTTGTTAGGCGGACCGACTTCAGTTCTTAGCGAACGCGTTGTTGCCGCAGCTGTTGATTCAGGACACTTACCATCGACGTACTCGGGAGCCGCCACTTCAACAAATACCGAGGGCGCCAAAATATGCCTCGAGTTCAACGCTAGGCCTGCCCCGAGTGGGTTTCCTAAATTGTGCTCACGAAGCTCGAGCGTGAGCAGCAACCGTCAAGTTACGGACGCTGCTCACGGCACCAAAGGCTGGCAACGGCCAGGCCCTGAAGGCGATCATGATCGCGTCCAGACGATGACATTTGAGCCTGCAGTCGCCGAGCTGTTGCAGTACTGCACTCAAGCTGAAGTTCTTTTCTCAACTTTCACACAAGGCAAGAATCTTGTTTTGGTCTGGTCCTAAAAAATTGCAACTCTTAAACGTTACAATTTAGTATCCGTGACTAATTAAATATACTTATTGCGTCATTATGTCAGGATTGGCATCAAGACTGCAGTAATCAACAGTCTCCTATGCTTTTTTTGTTATCTTTCACAACCTCATATGACCTCGCATAGTAGCTACTAATTGCGTGTTTTTTTGTAATTGTGAAAATTTTCCAGTATCTCAAATACTGGAGGATCAATTAAATGAAAGTATCCGAATAGAGAGGATAATCGTATTGGAAGTATATACGAATAGAGATGATCAGTTCATTAAAATTAGCTTCATGTCGAGGGTCACTTAACGGGAAATATATTTACATTGAGGATCAGTTAATTGAAACTGTTTAAATATATTGCTATCGCCGATTGTTTAAAGCACCAAAAACACCAAACATGCATGACATTTGGGAGAGTCTTTTATTTTATTATCTTGATGGTCCAATTTTGGCGATTCATCCAGCAGCGTATACTGAAATGCGTTAGAAGTTGAGCGTTCGTTATTTATAACTAATTAACTAGAGATAATTAATATAATATAATTATATACCTCTAATATAATATAATTAGATACCTGTAATGTAATATAATTAGATACCTTTGGTATCTAATGAACTAGAGACTTCACGGAAATCACCGATCCCATACGTGTTTTTCCTAGTATTAAGTGTAAACCATGACATGGACATTGCACGGGCAGACTTGTACTACCGCCTGATCAAGCCTGTAAGCTGCGCCATGGAGGACGAGAGCGACGCTATCAACCAAGTCCTGTACAGCCTCCTGCTAGACCAGCTCCTCGACCTCCACAACGGACACGAGATCCCCCTGTCGCCTCACGACCATAAACTCCTTCCTCAGCTCCTCAGGGACAGACATGAGGCTCGGGGAGGTTGCTTCGCCGAGTATTTCGTTGGTAAATATTTCTTCTCGTCTATTATGGAACAATTGCGTGCTTTTTCTTACATGATCGAAAGTCCGAGGTGGTAAGTCGGTTACATGTAACTACGCACGATGTATGACCACGACCATTTGATGAAGACAGAAAGTCAATTTATTCCAAATTTGTAATTATGTCTAACTAGACTTTAGCATTAAAAGTTTTTATTTTGTTGCAAACGGTGCAATGTAACATTTTATTTTCTTAACATACATTGTAGAGCGTGTGAGAGAGCTTTTCATAATCGTAAACTTCAATTTGTTTGAACGCAGGCTGCTTTTGTGTTGAGCAGAGTGAGCATTCTAATGACGAGCCATATCTGTGTCTAGATATACCGTACTTGCTTGTGCAATCATTAAATCAGGCATGTATTAGGCGCTTGATTTTCGTTCCAGAAAATGAAGAAGAAATTCCTAAATGGCGCTGCCTGGTGAAGGCTTCATCGAGCACAAAGCTCCTTCTGACTTTGCTACCGGCCTCTTACCACGACTTGAAGCTGCTTCTGCTGCACCGCTCAAACCTGACCCCTGACTACACCAACCCTGCGCTCAGACTCGTGTCTCCTTACGAAGACTTCCTCAAGCTCGAGAAGGAAGCAAGTCAAGAGTCCTCGGAGCGTTCAGAACTGCTCTTGCAGCAACAAAGAGGATCTACGGAGAGTAACAGCAGTTCTGCTGTTATTTCAGGCGTTTCTTTGAGCCACCGGTCGTCAACGCTGTCTTCGTCTGGGCTATACGGAGGAAGGAACCAGTGTGGCTCTGTTTACAGCGGGTGCTTGGGATCTTTCAGTTCTGGTCACACCTTGAGTGGGTCTCTCCACCATCATCATCACTACCATTCGCCCATGCCCCACCAACACAGTCTTCCTTCGTCTCCTCGACCGTCCGCGTCAATGACTTTCCCTAGCATGCCGACGGTCGGCGGGGGTGGGGAGGCAGTGGCTCCTGCCACTCCCCACCAACAATTGTCCGGAAGGACCAGATTCAAATCAGGACCATCACATCCGCACTATGCACAAAAGTCGCAGCTTTCGTCTGGTCCTCCCGGGAAAGAAGGCTTCAGCAGAGCGAGGGCGAGCTCATTTCACGGCCGTCGCGAGAGATCGGGTTTGTGCTTCTCATCTTTAATAATAACTGTGATCATAACTTGCACTTCTAATGTATAGAAGGTGACGTGATACATTATAAATCGATTTGTAACTTTATTTTTCTGTGACAATGAATCTGATCACATTTATACGTACCCTTACAGGATCTCTGAGCCGGTGGGGACGGGGCGGTGAGCGATGTCGCCGCGGGTCTGTGGGTGATGGTCCTGAGCGTCCACCACAAGGCCAGATGTCACCAGCGTGCAACAAGCCCGACTGTACCCACTCTTTGCACTCCCGCCAACATGGCGGTTTCACTAGACAACAACAGCAGCAGCAGCAGCAGGTGCCATACCACGTGCAGGTGGCGAAGCAATCCTCAGCTCCCAGTACAGAAAAATCCCGTAAGCGATACGTGTCCATGCCTATGAAATCCTTACCTGGGTCTGGAGCTGGCGCGTTTTCTGGACCTTTTGACCTGAACAACAAAAGCATTTCCGCCAGCGTTTCCACAGAAGCTCTGCATGGAGGAGCCTCAGCTTGTTTTTATGAAAAAGTCACCACGCCCGGCGCTTCTTCGAGCTGCGGACGTGCCGGAGAAAATGTGGAGACCCGCCCGCCCCAGAAGCCCTGTGGGCACCGGCCGCTGCTGGGGGCGCTAACCCTGCCTGTCTACCTCTACGACTGTCGCCTCGATGTCATCATATCGCAGCTTGTACATCGGTATGAATTATTCTATCATTCTTTAGGACATTCAAAGTTTAGATGATGTTTGGGGAAGTATTCAGGTATTAGCAGTGGAAAGAATTTTTATAGTGAGGGTTCTTGAAGGATATTTCTCTTATTTTTTGTTTATTATCCACGCTTTATCGGTTGCTGATGCCCCCTGTACAATTTTGACGAAATAAATTGATTTATGGCAAATTTTTTATAATGATCTTGAAGTATGTAAATTACCTAATATACCGTTTACATGATGATATTGATTCTTTTCTCTCTAGCACCCGCGAAAAAGATGTCTTATCTTGGCGGTTAAATTTTTTATTATTATATCTTTACGTAGTTTGAAACGCAAAATTGTTAGAAATTTCTAGAAATATTGTGTAATATTCCATTGTATTTATAATAAACTGTTTAGTAAAGTATATATTTTTAGGTAACTCCGCGTACATATTTGTTAACTTTTTGAATAATGTTTTTTGAACGATATTTTGTTAACAATAATGTGTAAAAAAATTCTGTTTCGATATCAGGAGCACAACCCGCAACGTGCTACGCGACATCTTCAAAGACTTCACCCTGCACACCGACGCCGTGCCAGCCACTGAACGTGCGTCACGATCCTCTAAGAAGGACGACGACTGTGACGACTCGTATTACTCCGAGCAACACTTCATGCCTGCTGGGGACGAGCCCGAGGAACCTTGTCGCGACGCGTCTGCTCCAAGGAGCCCATCGAGTGCCGCCAAGACTGTCGTCGCTGGGGAGATGAGTGCTCCTGTAGGGGCTGACGTGGGGTCCTCTGGCAATATTATGAGTGATGCGTTACTCGGCAGCAAAGGTGTTGGTGCCTCGAGTGCCACCGTCAGGAGGAAGAGTTCGGTCACGAAGTCGCTGAGTGGCGGGATGTCCGGGACGCCGGGACGGCGTGTTGGTGGCGGCGGCCCTCGCTTCATGACGGCGCATGAGGCCTCGAAACAGCGCCACGCTGCGGACGAGCTCGACCAACGAGGTGAAAACTTAGCCTTCTTCCTTTTTCATTTTGGCAAGGTGGCCCAGTGGTTACAGTTCAGGGCCTATACTTTCAAAAAAAAAAGTTAGAGGGCGTATGTTCATGAACCAATCATTGACGGCCTTTTAAGCAAAATCCACCAATCATGGACAAGAAAATAGAGCGTAAGTACTTACGTTCACTTAGCCATTTTTGAAAGTATGGCCCCAGAGTACTAAGATTGGCGCAGAGAGGGGCGGGTTCGATCCCATCTCTGTGCGCCAGTTTCTGGTCAGAATCGGCAAGGAGCACAGAAGAATTTGAACTGTGCTTAACCGGGCAAACCTTAACCGGGCATCACAGCTGTGCTTAACCGGGCGGTTAAGCACATCAGAATTTGAATCAGTGAGTTGCGAGTTCAAGCCCGCAACAAGCTGTGGATGTTCTGCAATGTTAAGAATCGGCGACAGACCTCCGGCCTAATAAACGCTGAAACCGCTGTATTAATGATTTGCCATGTTGCCTCCAGTTTGACACCCTGACCCTAATTATTTACACTTTATTTAGAATATATTTTATTACAATTTATTTTCATAGTTTATTTTAACTATATATTTTAAAACTATATTTATACCTATATATCTTCATACGACCGCGTTTGTTATACAAAGACACGTCATTACAGAGACGTCTAGTTCGCTGGTGTGGCTGACGACGGCAGTGGAGGCGTGTCAGTACCGCTGCCTCGTGGTGACGAGCTTTGAAGCGCTGCGTGCAGGACTGAGCGTCCACCCCTGCGACCTGAACCCTGTGCTGGACCAGTGCCATGAGTCCGTGCACGAGATCGACATCACTGAGTACCTCCATGTGAGAACTTACCTGCATAAATGTGTACCTGAGGGCCTATACTTTCGAAATAAGTTAAGAGCTCGTAAGTTCAGCCAATCATTGACGGCCTTTCAAGCAAAATCTGCGACCTGAACCCTGTACTGGACCAGTGCCATGAGTCCGTGCACGAGATCGACATCACCGAGTACCTCCATGTGAGGACACCTGCTCCTGTATACGTCTTCGTCGAGGATGTTTCCTTGTTGTGCCGTTGTCGTTATAATACGTATACTATATTATCCACCGTCCCGTTATTGGAGCATTATTGTACCAATTTAATATCGTTATTATACTATTAATGTACCGCTATTGTGCCGCTATTACTCTTTATTGTAGCGAGACATGTGAAGCATTAAATGAATCAACCTACTCAGGAGATTCACATCACTCACCCACTCGAGGAATATAACAATTAGTTTTCCAATATGTCAATCAATGTTACTGATGAATGTTAGCAAGAAAAGCCAGAGTGGCTCGCGTACAGTGTACGCGAATATCTGAACGTGACGGCATTTTTTTTCTTGTATTGTTGTGCTGTTATTGCTTGAAGTCGAGTGATTTCTAGGAGTTTTTAGCTCCTATATAGTTCCTGTACTGTTCCTCTTCGTAATTTTCCGTGCGACGCTTTTTGCCCGATGATATACAGTAACTTTGAAGTGCCTGTATGATGAAGCAGTGGTTGAATTTTGTTCTTCCTAATGCTGGATAGCTCGTTTCTGTTCAATTTTTGATTGAACAGATTATTATAATTGTGGAAGAACGGTTCTTTGATATCTCATGTAACAAATCTCTGATTCATTGTTTGATCACGTAGAATCTTCAATAATTTTAATAGATAGCACCTTGCCTCGTATTGAGATATCAAATGAAATATTTTGTCTTATTCCTTTTAGTAAATATTATTCCTGTTGTCTTATTTCTTTTACTAGGTAATAATGTTGCGATATTGCAGGCGATATGCGGACATATTCGCGACTTTTCGTTGCGGCAGAAAGTGGAAGAAACACAACAGCAGCAACAGCACAAATCCCCTACATCGACCTCTCCTCCGCGCCCAACAGACCCTGATAACTGGGACAAGCAAGGAACCTTGGAGCAAATGGAGTCCGTTGAGCAGCTCGGTCAGCTCGAGCAGAATCTTGTTCGTCGAGCCAACACTCAAGATGAGCAAAAATTCAAAAATTTCCCTCTCGAGGTTTCTGAAGAATCCGATACTTGTAAAATAGTCCCTCCCGCAGTCGAAGCTACAAAGAAAGAAATTCAAGAGCATTTAAAATTATGTCTCAAAGAAACATTTGAAAAAGCCTTACTTGATAGCAATTCCGGTGACACGCTCATCAAAAGCGCAGTTTTGGAAGGAGCTTCGAAGACTTCAGCGCCGCCTACGACGAAGTCTTCGAGCGTTGAGAAGACAGGATCTTCTGTGGACTCTGTAGGATCTCATCCTCGTCCTGTGCTCGAGCGCCAGAACTCCTTGCATGAAGACCCAACGCTGTCCATGGATCAGGTACTCAGATCCTCTCAAGTCCCCACGCACCAGTAGCCTCATTCCCCTGCACTAGACTCCCCACGCACCAGTAACCTCGTTCCCCTGCACTAGACTCCCCACGCACCAGTAGCCTCATTCCCCTTGCTCTGACTATCAAAGTTTGTCAATTATGACATAATATTGAATTGAGTCCTGTACCAAATGTGTATGTAATTCTGATCGATAATGTCAGGAATGTTATTGTGTTTGAAATTAACATAATATTTAGTGGAATTTAGTTAATCAATCACAGCAAATAAAGTTTTTTTTGTTATTTATATGGCAGCACCTCTATTTTTGATGTTAAACAACGATTAAACTACTAGTTAACGATGAGGTTTTGTAAAGTATTTTTGGCTTATCGATGCAAACGTCAAATATTGGTAGGGGTATAAAATAAGGTATCCTTACGTTTTCTATTTCGTAACCATCAGAACTCACGATGACATTCGACAATTTGCCACATTCAACATAATTGTGTATTTATATGGCAGAAATTTTTTACATTTGCCACAAATTTGCCACATTCGACTCAATCGTGTATTTATATGGAAGAAATTTGCCACATTTGCCACAAATTGGCCACATTAGACTCACTCGTGAATTTATATGGCATAAATTTGCCACACATTTGGCACATTCGCGTCAATGATGTATTTATATGGCAGAAATTTCCACACATTTGTCACATTCGCCTTAATGGTGTATTTATATGGCAGAAATTAGCCACATTTGCCAGCAATTTGCCATAAATTAGCCACACTCGCCTCAATGATGTATTTCTACGGCAGAAATGGACGCTTGGTAAGCACTACAAGGTACACCGCAGCAGCACGAGCACGAGCAGCAGCAGCCTGTTCCCGCTATGCCTGCTGGAGCAGCACCAGCCCTGTCGCCCCCTGCAGTCGCTGCACTCGAGCATACGGCAGCGCTGCACGGCCCTCCTGCTGCAGCAGTACCGTCCTGTGCCCGCCATGCCTGACCATCACTTCTACGTGCAGGGCCCAGCCCCTGCTGCTGCTGCCTCGCTGGTGCGTGGTGCTCCTGCAATATGAATAATCATTAGGATAAGAAGCGTGCACCTACAATAACAATAATAAGATGATTAGGATAAGAAATGTGAGGAATATTCAGGGTATAAATAGCACTTCTACGTGGAGGGCGGCGCCCCTGCTGCTGGTGCTGCCTCGCTGGTCCGTGGTCCTACAATAATCATTAGGATAAGAAACGTGCACCTACAATAATAATAATAAAATTATGGGATAAGAAAATTTGAAGAATGTTAAGGGTATAACTATTGACCTTTGCTGAAAGGAGTAATATAGACAGAAGTGTTTACTATGCAGAAAACAGAATACATCGTTACCGTAAGTTATGTAGAATACAGATACATCGTTAAAGAAAGGCAGGGATTTACTGTTGACGAGCTATTCATTGATTTATACCACTGCACTAATTCCTCTCAAATGTTTCTTTTGAAATAGCTAGTCAAGTTCTAAATGAAATGAAAGTGAAATTCATTTATTATTATGGTTCATTCTTATCTCTGTGCGTTCTCCATTGTTTGCTGTTTATTTTGGAGTATCATTTCTCCTTTATGACATTTGAGATAATTTTCCCTCCGCGTTACGTTCAACATTGTGATTTTTTTAGAGTAAAGTTTTTAATTGCAACCTTATTGGATGTTGAGTTATTGTATGTTGAGTTATTGGCTGTTGAGTTATTGGATGTTGAGTTATTGTATGTTGAGTTATTGGATGTTGAGTTATTGGATGTTGAGTTATTGGATGTTGAGTTATTGTATGTTGAGTTATTGTATGTTGAGTTATTGGATGTTGAGTTATTGGATGTTGAGTTATTGGATGTTGAGTTATTG